GTCTTGTTCCTGGAACAGCCATGTGTCCCCTGCCAGTGTCACAGGATTATAAAAAGATTGTAAAGCTAGGAAGAGGCTGGGTTGTAAAGGGCTTTGAATACCAAGCATAGCATTTTGTATTTGATCCTGAAGGCAATAGGAGGCTAGTGGAGTTTACTGAATAGGGGAGTGACTTGTTTGGACCTGGAACCTGTGTTTTTGAGGAAAATCACTTTAGTGGCTAAATAGAGGACGGACTGGAGTGGCACTTAGCAAATGCTTGTTGAATGAATTAATGAATTTGGCCCAACATTATAGCCTTCCATGATCTCTTTGAATCCTGACTCCATCATCCAGTACTTAGTTCTCTGCCCAGCTTTGATAAGCCTATCATCTATGCCTTTGTCCAAGTCATTGATTAAAGGGTTAATAATTTAAATAACCAACCACTGATTTCTGAGGGTCCTCCTAGGGAAGAGTTCATTCCAAGTTGACATCAAACCATTAGTGACTATTTGTTGGGTTATTCAACTACTTCTGAAATATACATAATAATATTATCTCCTAGCCCACATCTTGGGGGTAGCTAGGTAGTGCAGTGGATAGAGTGCCAAGCCTGGTGTCAAGAAGACCTGAGTTCAAATCTAGCCTCAGGCACCTACTAGCTATATGACCCTGGGCAAGACATTTAACCCTGTCTGCCTCAGTTTCCTCATTTGTAAAATGAGCTAGAGAATGAAGTAGCAAACGACTCTACTGTCTTTGCCAAGAAAACCCTAAATGTAATAATGAAGAGTCGGATATGGCTAAAATGACTGAATAATGACAAAGCCCATGTTTTACCATATTTCTCATTAGAATAGCATTAAAGATTATTTAAAAGATTTCTTAAAATCTAAGTAAACCATTTTCCTGATTTCTCTGGCTAGTACCAATATACAAATATATGAAGGACTATGCTTTCATCAATATAGGGAAGTCATAGTGAAGGAATTTCTCTGGCATGCAGCCCATATTAATATTCCTATTATATATTACTGTGCTGTATAAGAAATGATGAATATGATGAATTCAGAGAATCATGGAAAGACTTACATGAACTGATGCAGAGAGAAGTCAACAGAGCTAAAAAATACACACACACACATACACACAATGACTACATCAATACCAATGGAAAAAGCAACCCCAAAACAATTAAACATGAATGTTTCTAGGAAAGAAGGAAGGAAACATGCATTTATTAAACAATTACTATGTACAGGCACTGTGTTTAGTGCTTGGGATATAAACATAAGCAAAAAGAAAGATAATCCTTGCCTTCAAGCAAGTTTCATTCTAATGGGGGAAGACAGCACACAGAAGGGAATTGAAAAGGGGGAAGGTAGGGGGAGGTGAAGGAAAGGAGGCAATAGTTTTGAAGGTGGGAGAGGGGAAAGAAGGTTGACCAATCTGAACCCTTCCACAAAATGGAGGCCTCAGGAGGAGGTGACCACTATAAGAGGGTGAGGGGAGACCTGGCAGAGGGACATTCCAGGGTGAGAAGGTCAGAAGGTGAGCTGTATTTCCTCCGGCACTGAGGGAAGTTCCAGGATGCAGCAGAGGCATGGTTTGGGATTCTAGAAAGTCAGGAGCAGGGCTGAGGGGAAATTTTGCAAAATTACAAAAACAAACATGGGCCCCATAGAAGAGATAGGAGAAGATACCTCACCTCTTCTTTGCAGAAGCCAGAAGTCCACAAATATGGCATGTTACATATGTTTTTGGATTTTTCTGGTATATTGATCGGTTTTGCTGATTGTTTTTCTCCTTTCTTTAAAAAATAAATTCTTATAAAGGACAGCTCTCTGGGAGAGAGGAGAGAAAAGGATACTGAAAATTTTGGTGATATAAAACAAAACAACAAACACTCTGGATAAAATGTATTTTTTAAGCTGTACAATGTGTAGTATTTATTATATAAGTTTTCTTTTTTAATTTTTTATTAATTTATTTTGATTTATCAACAATCACTTCTATATGCTTTTGAGTTTTCAATTTTTCTCCCCCTCTCTTCCCCCCTCCCTCCCCAAGATGGCACGCAGTCTGATATAGGTTCTACATATACATTCCTATTAAACATATTTTCACATTAGTCATGTTGTAAGGAAGAATTAGAACCAATAGAAGAAAAAGGAAACACAAGAAAGAGAAGACAAAACAAAACAGAAGAAAAATAATGGCAAATAATATGCTTCGATCTGCATTCAAACTCCATAGTTCATTCTTTGGATGTGGATAGCATTTTCCATAATGAGACCTTTGGAGATGTCTTAGATCCTTGCATTGCTGAGAAGGGCTAAGTCTGTCAACATTAGTCCTCACACAATGTGGCTGTTACTGTGTACAATGTTCTTCTGGTTCTGCTCACTTCACTTAGCATCAGTCCATACAAGTCTTTCCAGGTTTTTCTGAAGTCAATCTGTTCATCATTTCTTATACCACAATAGTATTCCATTACATTCATATACCACAACTTGTTCAGCCATTCCCCAATTGATGGGCATCCCCTCAATTTCCAGTTCTTTGCCACCACAAAAAGAGCTGCTAATAATATTTTTGTACATGTGAGTCCTCCCATAAAATGTATTTTTTTAACATGATTCCCATGTACCAATGAGGAAAGCAAGCCTAGGAAAGAGTAGGTGATGTGGCCATATGATGAGGGACTCAGAAAAGTCAGAACTGGACCTTAAAACTGGGTCTTTAAGTCCTTCCCCTATACCATGATATTTGCTATGCTATCAACACTGCCCCTAGGTACTAAAAGCATTTCTAATGAAACACCACCTTCTTTTTACTTATCCAAGGGAAGTGGATGACTTGTATGATGGCCTGGGTTAATATGGAATTGCTAGCATTGCGTTCTGCTTGCCTGCTATGGAGCCAGCAGGAAAAAAGGCCTTTCCAGCGCCAGTGAATACCTCCATTTCCTTAACCAGGTCTAACTCTTATCTATCCCTGCTGAGGACTAGCAGAAAATGCACTCCAAATCACTGGGCTCTGTTGATCCTGCTCTCCTCCTGTACATCGGAGATTGCTGATTTGCCCAGATATCATGGCTGGCTCCTGTGCGTGAGCTTTCAGACCTCTGCAATAAGGGCTGTCAGTGAAAGCCCAGTGGGGAATCAAGCTCAGTGTGTGGACACAATGGAACCTTGCATCATTAAAGAGAGAAGAAAGATTGACATATAGGTTAAAGCTAAGAGCCCCCTGGTGCTCCTATCAAGAGTCTGAAATTGAAATCAGAGTCTGGGAGACACCTTTCCTCCTCCCTCCACCCTTAGCCCAAAGGTTGTCAGAGGCTGTATTAGCAGAATGGGACTAATCATGTTAAGGAGCTATCAAAGTGCAACAGTTTGTTAAGCATTTAGCCAGGTTGTGCTGAGATGACCCCGCTCCTCCATCTTCCCAGGACCAGGATGAGTGACTAATTGAGCACACCTGCCACATTCTTCATTCTTTTCTTTCATCCTCCCACCCTCCTGAACCCTGCAGAAGGAATTCTAATCCCATTGACTTTCCTCTCCTATCATCCCCGGTGACATCGATGCCCTTTCATAATTACAGCTCCTCCTGTTCCGTCTCGTGGAAAAATTACCACCCTATCCCTACGCCAAAGTTGTCAGATTCACATCTCCTGGTTTTGTGTCGCATTATAAACTCCTTAATTTGAGGATCTCAAAACCATTCACAAGTATGGTAGTGAGCCTCACGTGCACAGCTGGAGACACCAAGCCCCAGAGATATTTGGTGATTTTGTCAGGACAGGGTGCAAGATGGGGGATGGATTCTGAGAGCAAAAACCAGTACTCCCAGAGAAAGCCTCCTGCTTAGGCTGCTCATTTCTAATTTCTCCCATGGCTAAGTCTTTCTTCTGTTGAAGAATGAGGGGAAAATATACATATATGTATATATAATTCAGATTCTGCTCAGTGTTTAGATCGAAAGATCTTTTGGGGGAGAGTCAATCATCAAGCATTTATTGAGCACCTACTATGTGACGGGCACTTTGGGTATACAAAATAAAAAAGAGATGGTTGGGGGCTGCTGGAGAGGAGGGGTAGGACAATTAGTCTGTAATCACTTGTTTGTCTCTTGGGTGATTCCAAAAACTCAGTGATATGGCTCTCACTTCCCCTCCCCTGCACATGCAACTTAGTACATGGTCTTCATAAGTTGCTTAGCCACTAAGTGATTAATTTGGGGGCCACAACAACTCATGAAGACCATCTCACTTGACAAGGTGAATTGTCAAATGATAAACACCCAGTCCACCCCTGGCCCATATTACACAGAGCTTTCCAGTTTTGAGATCACTTAAGCATTTATTAAATGCTTACTGAGTGCCAGGCACTGCGCTATGCACTGGGGATACTGAGAAAGTTAAAACCGTGGTCCCTGCCCTCCAAGAGCACACTGTCTAATGAAGGTTGGTTGGTTGGCTGGTTGTTGTCTTTCATGCTTGAAGAAGACCAAAATGACATCACTATGTCGACGTCAAATAACTGTATAAACAAGATAAAGACGGGATAAATTGGAGATACTCTAAGAAGACTCTAGGATTGCTGGGCTCCATCAGAGCTTGAGCTTGGCTGATGTAGCCTCTGACGGTCTGCTCCAAAGCCACAGTGGAGCACGGAGGAGGACTTCAGTGGAGCCTAATTGACTCAGCATTAAGAGTCTGAGTTTCCTGTCTCTTGCGTCACCTCCGTAGGCATCCAGGACACATCACCACTTGGCCCATTTTCATCACTGATTGGACAGCCAGCTAAGACACCTGTTTCAGGTGGTGAGTTATCATGAATTGAATAGAAGTCATGTTTAATCCCATGACTTAGAGACAATAAAACTTCAGCTAACCGTATTGCTTACGGATGGCATTTGCTGGTTAATATAATTATCCGGTAAACCGAAGCTTAACGAGCTTGCAGTGTTGTTAAAGGAATAAATATGAACAGGGATGGCCTCCTTTTTTGCAGAAGATACAGCTGTGTTCAAGGATAACAGATACTGGATCATGGGCCGGACATCTGTGGACATCATTAAGAGTGGAGGCTATAAAATCAGCGCTCTGGAAGTGGAGCGTCACTTACTGAGCCACCCAAGCATCATGGGTAAGGGCCTGCCCCACTGGGGGCTTCTCCAGTTAATGGAGGGTCTCCCCCTCTCCCCTGGGCTGGAAATGCAGTGGCCACTCATGGGCCCGATGCCAGGGCTGACAAGTGCAGAATTTGTACCCTGTTCCATTTTCTCCAGCCTGGGCTGGTTTGCCCCCTCCTTCGGCAGCGTGGTGGCCCTCCAACCTCAGAGGCTCACCATGTCAGTTCTGTACTTGGTTCAGATACTTCATTAGCTTTAGCCCCATGCTCAAGTGACCGCTAGCCTCAGCCTCTCCTCATGGCAGCCAGTCAATCAATAAACATTTGTGAAGTACCTACTGTGTGCAATAGAAGAGGTCACAGGTGTGCACCACCACACCAGGCTCATTTTTGGAGTTTAAAAAAATTGGTGTATGATCTTTAACTTTAATAATTTTTATTTAATTTTACATCATTTTCGTTTCCTAACAGCAACAATAATAATAGTTATATTGAACATTTTGAGATTTGGAGGGCATTTCACGTATGTCGTATTATTTGATGCTCACAACCACCTCCGGAGGTAGTTGCTATTGTTAGCCCTATTTTATGGTTAAAGAAACTGAGGCAGGGCAGCTAGGTGTTGCAGTGGATAGAGGATAGAGGCCCTGGATGCAGGAGGACCTGAGTTCAAATCCAGCTTCAGACACATAACACTTACTAGCTGTGTGACCTTGGGCAAGTCACTTAACCCCATTGCCTAGCCAAAACAAAAAAAAGAAAGAAAGAAAGAAACTGAGGCAGACAGAGGTTAAGTGGCTTGCCCAGGGCCACCCCAGTACTCAGTGTCTGAAAGAGAATTTAAACTTAGGGCTTCCTGACTCCAAATCCAGCATTCTATCCTTGGAAGCAGCTAACTGCCTTTTCTTTGTGTCCTCCTTCTTTGTAGGAAAGAGTAAAATGAAAGAGAGGTCAAAAGGTAGTTATACAAAACTGACCAACGCACCAATGATATATTAAATCTTCCACACCCAGAGTACCCTGTCTCTGCAGAGAAAGGAGGGCCTCATCATTATTGGCCAAAAAATAAGTTTTATTAATGTCATTTGTCTTTACGTCATAATCATTTCTGGGGAGAAAAAACTCTTTCTTTCAGATTGAACCACTCCACCCCCAAAAAAAATTTTTTAAGGAGAAACACCTGATACAATGACTATACTTGGCATGCATACATACAGGATTTTGTAATCTTGCCCTAGACAAGCTCACCTCCCTCTATTGAGAGAAGAAGGGCATATTCTCTTTATTTTCCAGGACTATCATTGGTTTTTTTTCTGAAGTTGGCTTCCTCTCATTTACATTGCTGTAGTCCTTATATATTATTCTTTTAGTTCTGCTCATCTTATTCTGCATCAGTTCATACAAATCTTCTAACGGTTGCCTGAATTCCACATATTCATCATGTCTGGCCATTCTAAAATAATGCCATCATTGAATTAAGATGTATTATTCTACCACGTAAGGGATATTGAGTGATTGAATGATATATCCTAAGGTGATGGTCACTCCATTGTCTTTTGATGGCAATATTCATTACCTCCACTAAATTCCTTCTCCACTGTCTTCTTGTGGCATGGAGGTGACCCTGGGCTAGTTCACTGGATTCAAATTCTGGCAGACCTAGCCGAGTCCAGTGTTGGACTCAGTGTCTGCTGTCTGAGGACTGGGCTTGTTAAGTTCAGAGAGCCTGATCATTAGGCTGGCCTCAAGGCAGTGAATTCTTTGGGCATATAAACTCTCAAAGAATATCCACTAAGTTGTAGAGCATATACCTACATTGACAAAATCACATTGGAAAAGGGATTTAGTGGAGGTAATGAAAATTACCATCAGAAGAAGATCCCTGATAACTGTCCTAGATTTTCCTTTGATCCATGTTATACCATCACTCAGTGCCTCAATATCAAAGCTTAAGCACTGAGCCAGTTTTGGTTGTGATATTAGTGACCACGTCATAGTCCGGAATCTAGATAAACATCCTGGATGTCCTGAAAGTTCATAAAGTCTCCTTCTAGAAAAACCAGGGAATAAAGCAGGATCACTTACAGGTTCAGCCATATCAACTCAGCAATCATATTTTATTTGTTATAGTGGGGAGGGGGCTGAATTCAAAATCTAGGATGCCATCTTGGTTAAGAACCAGATATCAAGTGGGACTGGACAGGCTGGTGATTTTGACCTCGATGACACCTCTGCCTCTTTAGTAGGATTGTATTCATTCGTTGCTAGATCCGTTAAGGCAGTGTTCTTCTAAGCCAGAACAAGTGACTGCACCAAAGGGTATGACAAACAGAATTGCAAACTATTGCTAGTCAAATGAAACAAAGCTCCAAATTGCTAATAATGAAAGAAATGCACATCAAAACATCTCTGAGGTTTCACCTCACACACAGCATATTGGTAAAAACGACAGAAGATGGAAATAGTCAATGTTGGAGGGGTTGTGGGAAGATAGGCATGTCAGACATTTACAGTCTGAATTTAGTTTTGGTCTTTGTTGTTGTTTTTGTTAGGCAATGGGGCTAAGTGACTTGCCCAGGGTCACACAGCTAGTAAGTGTTATGTGTCTGAAGTTGGATTTGAACTCAGGTCCTCCTGACTCCAGGGTTGGTGCTCTATCCACTGTGCCACCTAGGTGCCCCTAGACATTGATGATGGAGCTGTGACTTAGTCCAAATGTTTTGCAGAGCAGTTTTGAATTATGCAAATAAAGTGACTGCAACACCCATACCCTTTGACTCAGAGAGGCTAGTACTAGGCATAAAACTCCAAGGGAGGTCATTGATAAGAGAAAGTCCCCGTAGGCACTAAAATATTTATCTTAGCCCTTTCTGTGGTAGCAGAAAACAGGAAACAAAGTAGATGCCCATCAGTCGGGGAGTGGCTTTAAAAATCATGAATTTAATAGACTATTAATTACTGTAAGAAAAGAGGGGCAGCTAGGGGCAGAGTGGATAGCACCAGACTTAGAGTCAGGAAGACTCATCTTCCTGAGTTCAGATCTGGCCTCAGACACTTATTGGCTCTGTGACCCTGGGCAAGTCATTTAACCATGTTTGCCTCAGTTTCCTCATCTGTCAAATGAACTGGAGAAGGAAATGGCAAACTACTGCAGTATTTCTGCCAAGAAAACCCCGAATGGGGTAGCAAAGAGTCAGATGCAACTGAAATGACTCGACAACAACAAGAAGAACAATACACCTACACACCTCTTCTCTCACTGAACAACAAATAAGACAGAGTGGATTCTAGAGCAGTTAAAAATAGCATCAGGTTCCACATATAATACTTTATATAGAACCAGGTGGACTGCTAGCTAGCTCAGTGCATAGAGTGGCAGGCCTAGACTCGGGAAGTTCTTAGTTCAAATCCAGCCTCAGACACTTACTAGCTGTGTGACCCTGGGCAAGTCACTGAACCCTTTTGCCTCAGTTTCCTCATCTGTAAAATGAGCTAGATAAGGAAATGGCAAACCTCTCCAGGATCTTTGCCAAGGAAACTCTAGATGGGATCATGAAGAGTCAGACATGACTAAACAACTCAACAACAACAACAAAAGAAAGGATACATGTAATGAGTATAGAGAAGCACTGAAAACTGACATGAACTGATGCAGAGTGAAGTCAGCAGAGCCAAGACAACTGTGTCTGCAATGACACCAGCAATGTAGTGGAAACAGCAGCAACCCCAAAACAACCAAAGCTGAGGAACGTCGCACAGAAGTTCAGCTGTTTTCAGTGCATTGATCCATTTTGCTGATTGCTTTGTCTCCCTCTTTTTTCTTTTTTTTTTCTCCTAAATAATATTCCTTGTCCCACAGGGTGGCTCTCTGGTTGTGGGGAGGTGGAGTGATACAGGAGAAATGTTAAGTGTCAAAAGGGGAATGGAGACAGTGTATTTAGAAACAAGAACCCACAACTCGACCTGAATTTTAGGGTAAGAACTTTGCCCCTGTCCTGGGCAAGGCGGGCTCAGGAAAAGGAGGCCTTGACAGTGAAACCTTGTGTCCATGTCCACCAGGGCTACTGGGTTACCTGACCTCCCCGTCTTTATCCCTGGGGGTATGACTTGGTGAGAATGCCAAGGCCCCAAGCGTACATGTGCCCTCAGGACTGTTGGTTCCAGAAGCCTGGGGACTGCACAGCTCTTGTTCTAATCTAAACACAGTTATGACTACCTGCCAAGCAGCCCCTGCAGGCCTTGAGGGGTCCAAGAAAGGCAGAGGCCACCCAGAGACTCCTAGAGAGCACAGCAATAGGAGTGTAGACACCTTGGGCAAGTCACTTCCTCAGTGAAATGAAGGGGTTGGATAAGATGATCTCTTAGGTCCTTTCCATGTTACTATAACTCTGTGCTTTTGTGATTATCTCCTTAGGCTGTGGATTAGAGAGAGACTCCTTTGCAAAGTATGGCTAGTTTATGCAGTCGATAGAGCGCTGGCCATGGAGTCAGGAAAATCTGAGTTCAAATCCTGCCTCAGACACTTGCTAGCTGTGTAACCTTGAGCAAGTTACTTGATTTCTGTTTGCCTCAGTTTCCTCATCTCTAAAATGGGCATGATAACAGCACCTACCCCTCCCCTCATGGTTGTTGTGAAGATCAAATGAGATAAGATTTATAAAGTGCTTTGCAGACCTTAAAGCACTATATAAATACTAGTTGTTAGCTATCATTATTATTATCATTGTTGTTATTATTATTATTATTATTATTATTTCAGCTTGGGCCTCCAACACTGACTAGATTGTTAATTCTTTTAACAGCATTGTGGTTTTACTTCTGCCATGTTCTTCATTGTTTGATTTTTTATCTGAACCTTCTAGACACTTTGTTCGTTATATCCTCAATTTCTCAGAATGTCTTCAGGCCACTTCTTTTGTGCACAGATGTTGCTGTCATTGGAGTTCCAGATATGACATGGGGCCAGCGGATTACTGCTGTGGTCAAGCTTCGTGAAGGCCAGTCACTTTCTTGCAAGGACCTGAAAGAATGGTCAAGGTATAGAAATTATTTGATTCTTTGAAATTATATTTGAATTATTATTAAATATTAATTATTATTAAAATTATATTTTAAATTATACATGCCAAATTATTCCTGGCATCATCATAAATCAATTTTAGATCAGCCTACAGGAGGAAAGGGCTGGGGTCATTGTAGAACACAGGGTGACTTAGGGATTATTCACTGGGGGTGCCGCTCCTCCTTTACCTTCTCTTCTCCCCTCCCTGCAACCATTTTCTTCCAGCTCAAGTAAATAGATGGTATACTTTTCTAAAAGTTTTATTATTTATTTTTTAACACTCTTTTCTTTTTAAATTTCGAATTCCAAATTCTCTCCCTCCCTCCCACCCCTTCCTCACCCACTGAGAAGGCAAGTGAAGTAATATCACTTATGCATATGAAATCATACAAAATGTATTTCAGTATTAGCTGTGTCATAAAAAGGCAAGGAAAATAAAGAAAATGAGAAAATTATACTTCAATATACAGTCAGAGTTCATCAGTTCTCTTTCTTGAGGTGGATAGCGTTTTTTCATCTTGACTCCTCTGGAATTGTCTTACATCATTGTATGGATCAGAGTAGCCAAATCTTTCCCAGTTGATCATCATTGCAACCTTGTTATTACTGTACACAGTGATCTCTCTGTTCTTCTCACTTCACTTTACTTCAGTTTGTATGGGTCTCCCCATGTTTTTCTGAAACCACCCCCCTAATCATTTCCTCTAGCTCAGTAGTACTCCATCACCATCATATGTCATAACTTGTTCAGCTATTCCTCAATTGATAAGCATCTGCTCAATTTCCTATTCATTGTCAGCACAAAAAGAACTGCTATAAATATTTTTGTATGAATAGGTCCTTTTCCTTTTTCTTAGATCCCTTTGGGATACAGACCTAGTAGTGGTATTGCTGGGTCAAAGGGTTTGTACAGTTTTATAGCTCTTTGGGCATAGTTTCAAATTGTTCTGCAGGATGATCGAACCAGTTCACAACTCCACCAGCAGTTTATTAGTGTACCTATTTTCCCTCATCTCCTCCAGCATTTGTCATTTCTGTCCTCAGAGATGTTTTAATTTCCTTTTCTCTAATCAATAGTGATTTAGAACATTTTTCATGTGACTACCGATAGCTTTGATTTTTTCTTCTGAAAACTGCCCATTCATATCTTTTAACCATTTATCAATTGGGAAATGGCTCTTGTTTTTTTATAAATTTGACTCATTTCCCAGTATGTTTGAGAAATGAGGCATTTATCAGAGAAATTTGCCCTTAAAATTTTTTGATATTACTTCATTGTCTATGGTACCTTTTAGCAAAATGTAGTTTCCCTCATTATTTCTTTTAATTAGATCTGTTTTTGCTTTTGCTTTGTCTGAGATCATGATTACTACTCCTGCCTTTTTTACTTCAGCTGAAGCATAATTCTGCTCTAGCTCTCTATTTTATCTCTGTGTCTTTCTGTTTCAAGTGTTTCACTTGTAAACAACATATTGTTGGATTCTGGTTTCTAATCCATTCTGCTATCTGCGTCTGTTTTATGGGTGAGCTCCTCCCATTCATGTTCAGTTAGTAATCATAACTATAGTTCCCTCTATCCTATTTTTCCTCTGTTTATCCTTCTCTATTTTTATCCTGTCCTTCCTCAAAAGTCAGTTTTGCTTCTGACCACTGCCTCTCTTAATTTCCCTCCCTTTAATCACCCCCCTTTCTAATATCCCCTTCCCTTCCTCTTTCCCTTTTGAGAAAGATAGAATTTTATACCCAATTGAGTATACAATGTATGTGTATTCTTCCCTCTTTGAACCAATTCCAATGAGAGTATGGTTCAAGCGTTGCCCACCCTCCCACCCCTACATTTTCCTCTCTGCTCTAAAAGTTTTTCCTTGAGTGCTTAATAGAAGTTATACTTATAGAGATAGAAATCTTCCCCGCATGCGCACCACTGAGGAATGAGAAGTCTTTTAAACCAAATTTGACAGTATTTCCTTCAATATGACCTCAGGGAACCTGGACTTGGAGTATGGAGTACAGCATTGGGGGCAAATAGGAACATATGGGGTGACCCACCCCATAATGTGCTGGAAGCAGTACCTTTGGGGACTGTCAAGGAAAAGGTATCTCTCTCCATCCGGGGAAGAAATCCAGAGGGGGGAAAATGTGTTTGACTCTATCAGAGAAATCCATGTGGATGGAGCTGAGATGCAAAGCAAATCCAGCTGTAGAAATAAATTATTCAGGATGAGAGGCATAGAGAAGGAATATTTGTGAAGAAGCAGACAGATTTCTTATTTCTTTATTCCTCTCTTGCCCCCAGATCAGGAGCAAGATTGTTAATTAGCTCTGTTCCAAAGGCCTACTCTAAAATGCAAACACTCTTGGGGAGGAGGGGAGTTAATGCTCTATTTCACCCTCAAAACAGAAGTGCCGAGACCTCAATTGTCTTTGTTTGAAAGCAAATTTGACTCCTGAGCTCCTCACCCTTCAAGCTGCCTGCCCTCCTCCCTCCCATGAGGTGACTATCCTGTCATATGCCACACTTACTTGGGAGCATTCACAAAGGTAGACACTCCCTGCCCCCTTTGGATTCCTGCCCTCATCACCCCAGTCAAGAGACCAAGTGTCCCGTAAAACACAGGATGGTTTTGCACACTCGTTCTTGAAATTTTTCTCTTTTTTTTTATCTTAAATGTTAATATCAACGAACAGTAACATTGCCATTTCCAAAGAACAGGAAAAAAAAGGTTATATATGAAATCATGAATTTCTATTAACATGTATTAAATTTAATATGATTGTGATTACCTTGGTCCCCCTTCCTTCTAGTCTTTGGCACTCTGCTCATTGACACGCTCTTCTTTTTTTGGAGTCACTATAACTGCCCTCCTCCATAATTCTCCCTACCCACCCACCCACCCACCCCCTGCCAAATGAGAGCCTTCTCTTGTAACAAATAAGCATATTCAAGAAAAACAAAATCACACGTGTGAAATGCATGCCTCATTCTGCACCTCTGGTCCTCCACCTCTCTGTCAAGAGATGTCCGCATACTTATTAGACTCCCTCAGTCTTTAAGACGGTCACAGCCTACACTTTCTCAGGGTGACCTTTCTTTCTGTTCTCCTTAAAGGCAGTCTGACAACCAGACTCTGCTCTTCCTGCCCCCTTCTCATCACCTCCCCTTCCTTTCTCGCCTCTTCTCCCTCCCTTCTTCACTCTACCAATGTTCTCCCCCAGTTCTTCCCCAGAAAGAACTTGGTGGTCTGTGCTCTCTCTCGACCTCTTGGAGTCACTCACAGCTGCATTTCAAGGGTCAAAGCACTAGCCTCCCCGCAGCCGGTGGAAGTTGACAGGTAGTACTTGTCACAACTCTAGACGTAGCCGGGGTCTAAAGGCAGAGACTCTTGGAAGGAATTTTCAAGCAATGTGGATTAAATTTTAGCTTTACCTTTGTCATATATGAACATAAGACCATTCCCAATTTACTCAAGAAACCTTCCTCCTGGCCCCCCTTCCCCCACCACTCCCCACCCCAATTCGCCTCCTTCTCCTTAGCGCTAAAGATATTTTTGGCGCGTCCAACATGATTTCACAAACAGTAGGAATCCTTGTTTCATCAGGGGCGGCACAGCTGGGCAATTAAAGATTCCCCTGGATTTGCAAAATCACAGTTGGAAGACTACAATTTAACAAAGGCAAGGAAGATTCTGGTTGGCCGGTTGCTGCTTTGATTAAACAATTACTTTGGTTTGGGGGGGAAAGGGGGGGAGGCTGCTTCTCAAGCACCCTAGGCTGAGAGCCTTCCTGGAGACATCTCACAGAGTCCGGCTCCCCAGGTGCAAAGTTCTGCTGTCTGTCGAGCACTCAAGGCGAGTAACGTGTTAACCCTTTCATGCCCAAAAGGAGGTCCAGAGGCGGCTGAGCATCTGTACTTCCCATCAGTGGGTTGAGGTAAACCTGGTCCTGCCAAGTTTCTGTGCCACTGTTCAATCTTCCTGACTCTTTCTCTGGGAGTAGCTCAGTATAGAAGTAGATCTTTCCTTCTAGGGCTGCTTAAGGTCGTCTAGTCCTCCCGCTCCTGCCCCCTCCCCCTGCCATGCTGAGAGGGTCAATAGCTGAACCCTCCAACGTGGTCATCTGCCCTCTGCTGAAAGACCCTCCCTGGATGGAGACCCTTTGGGCTCCCTTTTGCAACTCCTCCCAGGGTTTAATCATGCATGGTCCAATCCAGGACCCAGGCTAAGAGACTTTTATTTCCCTTTTCATTCTAAGACATGGAGTTGTTAACACCTTCCAGCGGAGCTCATCTTTCAGAAGGATTTAACCAGGTCATAAAACTGCATGGAATCCACTCAGGGTTATCATCTGCTGGAAAAGCAGGAAGAACAAGGCAACATGGAGCACAGAGATGGCAAGGGGCTCAGGCGGTACAGGGGAGATTCCCCGAGGACAGTCAGGCTGTGCTGGGGCTATTATGATCAGCTGAAATGAGTGGCAGATGATTGCGTCCATGCTGCTGCCAGGGTATTTAAGAGAGAGCCAGACAGCAGGGATGGGGCTCTTTGTATCTTGAAAGTGCACTGGCTTATATGTGGTGGTGGAAGTGCTGGTGAAAGAGCATGTGGTCAGAGTGAGTCCAGGGGAGGAGCTGATTGAGGCCAGGAGCAGCTGCGGCACTCTCTGTTCCCCAGTCCTGGGTCTTTTTCCCCTTGGGTAGCCATTGTGGTGACTGTGGTGTCTGTATCAGTTCGCAGTTGTGACTTACTTTGCTTCAGAGCCCACACAAAGCATGCAGCTGAGCTGGGGGAGTAAGCCATGATGGATGTTCTGGTCAGGTCCACCCTCAAGCCTCTATCTCTGCACCAACTGAGCTTGCACGCACGTTTTCATCCTAGAAAAGGGTGCCCTGTGGGGGTGGGGGTCATCACTGATGTCAAAAGGAATTTATTAAGTTCTTAATTGTACATGACAGTAGGCTAGTGATTCTAAACTTCTC